ATAAATAGTATATAATTTTTTTTATTTTGATATATTACGAAGAAATATAATATAATATTTTTTATATAATTTTGTTGAAGGAATTTTTAGAAGGAAGAAACTTGAGAGTTTTGGAAAAAAATAAATTATTGTAGAACTTTTTAATATATGTATATTATTAATTTTTTATTTCGTTATATTAATAAGAAATATAATAATATTTTTTTATATTATTTTGTTGGAGGAAATTTTGGAGGCAAGAAAATTGTTGTAGAATTTATTCCCATTATATTTTTTTCACTAAAATCAATTTAAACGGGTAGTATTTTTTCATGTTAGAAAAACAGGTGAACTAACTGTATTACAACAATCTGCAGTGCGCTCGAGCTTTTTCTGATTAAAAGAAAGATAAAGGGGCCTTCATGGCTACAGGTTTCAAAGTTTTCTACAATCGCAGCTTCTCAAAGAGTAAGGTTTTAAGATGTGCATCAAGTAGAAGTAATATATGACAGTCTTTTATTACATATATGGAGACCGCCTTAATTTAATCCTAGCAACTTGCTTGTGCTTGCAGGTTAGCTGGTGCAAATTTGAAGTGACTGTTGACTCTCCTAAAAGCATAAGGAATTCATCTCCTTCAAAAATCACTTCTAAGATTCCTCCTGTAGTTGTTGCAGCGATAAACTTGAAAACCACCATCAATGAAAAGAAGAACATAAATGAGATTGTATCTGCATCCGTAATATGTTGCAATATGGTTAAGGTTGTTTACCGTCCTTTTTTATTTTTTGGTTTTGTTATGTATCTTGTGCCAGCTTATCTCTTGTAATGAGCTCAAGAGCATTAATGTATGTGTCTGTCTACACATATGTGAATATAAGAATATCTATATGTGAATATAAGAATATCTGTGCGATGCATGTTCTATGAATCTTTAAATGAATTGTTGCTTGAACTTGGTACTTGTTTAGATTGTGTGTGAATATGTATGCATGTTTACCTTCTTTAACAATTTGAATATTTACTATCAAAGTTTAATATGTTTGCTACTAGATAATTAATTACTATGATAGATGGAGTTGTGGTGGAAGTATGATCAATAATAACCTTTCCTGTTTGACTTTTTAGATTGACACTCCTACTCTGGCTTCAGAGTGGAAGAAACTTGGGAGGTTGACCCATTTTACCGTTATTCGTAAGATTGATGGGAAAATATTTCCGATGGGATTCAATACGGAGGTAGCGAACAAAAACAAAAAAGCTGGTTCAAATGTATTGTACGTTGAAAGCAGGTAAGATGTTTGCTAGTTTAAGTGTTGTGCTTATCTGCATTACTGCATCTTATTCTTTAGTTCAAATATGATGTCTAAGAATGCTAAAACAAATATGATGTCTAAGAATGCTAAAACAAATATGATGTCTAAGAATGCTAAAACAAATATGATGTCTAAGAATGCTAAAACTTATCTTGGAAATTATGATTGTTTTAGGCTTAACCTATGCATTAATTTTGTTTTCAGCGAAGGAGATTTGTTAAACCGCTTGATGTTAGAATTACACAAGTTGGATAGTGATGTTCTTGTTGGACATAATATTTCTGGATTTTACCTTGATGTTCTTCTTCAAAGATGCCAGGTGAGAACTTTGATCTTTCCTTATAAAACGATTTCTTGTATTATTTGAGTTTTTCAAGCCGAAGAGAAATTATTTGAGTTTTGCATTAAGTTTCTTTTTTTTTTTTTTATAATACATTTCAAATGGATGATATCTGGATGAGAAATAGTAATTGGAGCAATTTAGAAATTCATTTTCAAGGCAGTAAAATGGCCTAAGAATTACGTGAAGACCAAAATTATTTTGTCAGAATTATTTATGAAGGTTATATTTGGAAGATGGTTAGTTGAGAATAAGGCTTCCGACAAAATTAAATGGAATATTAGAATTCATTCGGAGGTTTGAATTTGTTCTGGAAAAAAAAAAAACCATGTAGCTATTTCTTAAATTTTCAAACCGTGGTCATTTGTTGTCGGTGTCTAACTGTTATGGACACAGTTACCCATATTTCTTTTGTTAAACTTATTAGCTGGTGCATTAGTTCATGTTTACTAAATAAATATTAAAAAAACTATATTTTCAGCCAGTTCTTAAATTTACTGCTTGAATTTTTTAAGCAAAAAAATTGTTTTCTTGGTGTTTTTGTCATTTGTGCATGGAATTGAGTATAACTGTCATTGCCCCTAAAAGACCTATATCTATAAATTAAAGACCATTTTGTTTTTTCTAAGCAAAAATCTCCTGCATTTCATCCGACTTGCATTTTACACATTGAAGTAGCTGCTCCACTTAAAATCGCCCTATAAATATCATGGTACAGGCTCGCGGAGTAATGAGTAGTAACTGGTCCAAACTAGGCCGCCTCAAACGTTCTAGAATGCCTACACTTGGAAGAAGAAGCAAGATTTTTGGTGCTGGAGCAGATCCTGGCATCATGTCTTGCCTTGCTGGCCGACTTCTTTGTGATACCTACTTGTGTTCCCGTGACCTATTAAAGGAGGTAAAACAATTGTTGAGAACTCTTGCTGAGCTGGAATTCTGATTTTGATTTCTTAGTAACCATCCTCATTGGTTCTTTCAGGTTAATTATTCTTTAACTCACCTTGCAAAGTCACATCTGAACAAGTTTCGGAAAGAAGTTGCTGCACATGAAGTTCCAAAAATGTTCCAAACAGCAGAATCCCTAATGGAACTTGTAGGTGACTGCGTAATCAAGCAGCTTTCTGTTTTTTTTCTCTTCTTCTTATTGTTGAGAAATATTTGAAGTGTTGGTTGTGTAACGTTATCTGTGGATTATTTTTTTAATTGATAAACATTTCATTGTTATGGAAATTTTTTTGTTTCAATTCTGATTCATTGTATTACTATTTAGGCTGAGACTTTTATTTGGGCAAATGAGAAATCTAGATACATTGTTCAAATGTGTGCACTTTCATAAATATTAAACTATGCCGTTTGTCATGGTTACTGATGTTAGCAGTTTATCTTCCCATACTTAATATTTTTTACATTAGCAGTGCTTTGAACTTGATATTGCATGTGGGTTGAGAAACTTGGAAGCAATAGACGTGTAATATTTTGACAATTAAACTGAATTGTGCATAATTTGGGGACTTTATAGTCTTAGTTGATTAGTTATGGGATCTAATCTACTTGTTTTAATATGATCTGGCAAAATATTAGTGTTGGTCAAAGAATTTACTTTTGCCATTTGGAATATTTGATTGATTGACAATTAAGTTAGTTTATTTGCTTCTAGACTGACTGCCATTGTGTTATTGACTTGTCAGATTGAATACGGTGAAACGGATGCATGGTTGTCTATGGAACTCATGTTTTATTTAAGTATTCTTCCACTCACACGTCGGCTGACTAATATTAGTGGTAATCTGTGGGGAAAAACACTCCAGGTGAGCCCTCGTATCATTTGCTTGCTAGGTTGATTTGATGTTGAACATGACCTAACAGGCAGACGCGCTTAACTAAATTCAGGGTGGTCGAGCGCAGAGAGTGGAGTATCTTTTGCTGCATACTTTCCATGCAATGAAATATATGGTGCCAGACAAGTTCTCAAACCATGCAAAATATACAAAATTGACGAAACGCAAGTTAACTAGTGATGTTGAGGATAGAAACTTTGATGTAAATATTGATGATGCAAACTATGACAATGATGCTTCTGAAGTGGATCATAAGAAAAACAAAAAATGTCCTTCTTATGCCGGGGGATTGGTTTTGGAGCCAAAGAAGGGTCTATATGACAAATATATATTGCTTCTAGACTTCAACAGTCTTTATCCTTCTATTATTCAGGTTTATATCATTGTCTTTCAAAATATGCTTGTTTTTAGTCATTTAGTTCTGCCTTTTGGCATTATCTGTTTTATTTGCTCGTCTACTCTGCCTCTATTAGTAATTTGTGACAGTTTGTTTACAACATAATGAACTGAATTACAGGAATACAATATCTGCTTCACAACTGTTGAGAGGTCTTTTGACGGAACTTTTCCTGGTCTACCATCTAGTAAAACAACTGGAGTCTTGCCAGAGGTAAAAATGCACAGATACCAACATTTTTATCTTTTAAATCTTGCTAGTGTAGGACATATCTGATCATTTTTGAACCAGAAGTTTCATATTAATTTTTTGTTTCCAAATTTTGTATGATTTAGATACAAAGCCTTGCCAAATGATATTTCCAGATTTATTTGCTTAGCAACTTTGACAAGTTAGTTGTTTTTTCTGCGCATGAAGCCAAGAACCTTGTTTCTATCAAGGCTAATTACATCTGTAGTTAGTGATGCATTTATACTGCAGTAGTTTATAGATCCTCAAAAGTACTGATGTGAGGCTCTGGCTTCCGCTTTGTTTCATGTGGGTGGGGTGTTAGATTTATAGATTTTTTTTGCCTCGATAACTACTTTATTATATTTTCAGGAGTTATCTCAATTTTGGTTCTTTCCACCTTGCCTGCTGTTCTTATTTCTGTCACCAGCTATAGCATTGGAAAATAAGGATTAACAGTGTTTGAAAAACTACAAGTCGTTTCAAATTCCCTTAATAAAAAATCAGTCTAAAAATTCCTTATACAAACTCATTTTAGCTGTGCAACATTGACTGGCACAATCAGGGTCCTAGAATACTTGCAATGTTCACGCGAGTAAAAGTGGCATATCTGTATTTTCAAGCGGTTTAACAATGCATTAAAAATTTGAGATAATTTTATTAGCTGTACAATACGATTTTTGTTTTCCCTCCTAGACTACTGAGAGTTCAGATGCGCTATAATTTAGTTTCTTTGTTTTGCTAGGTGCTGGAAAAACTGGTTAAGCAGAGGAAACAGATAAAGTTGTGGATAAAGAATGAAAAGAAGAAGAATGAAAAAGCTGATCCTATTAGAGTTCAGCAACTGGATATTCAACAGCAAGCACTAAAACTTACTGCAAACAGGTTTTTTTTTTTTTTCCTTTTCATGTGCCTTCTGAGTGCCCAAAATTGGCATGTCATTCTTCTGTATGTTAAATGCTATGGCATGTGATGCAGTATATATGGGTGCCTGGGATTTTCCAATTCAAGATTCTATGCTAAGCCGTTAGCCGAGCTCATAACGCAACGAGTAAGAATATGCTGGTTTATTCAGTGAATAACTACCATAAAATCTCAAATGTATTTTCAAACGCATTTTCATTTGCATGCCTACTGGTCCTACAGGGAAGGGAGATACTACAGAGTACTGTTGGCCTTGTTCAGAATAACTTGAATCTAGAGGTTATTTCTAGTACTCTGCATCTTTAAGTATTGTAGTTTAGTACATGGATTATTTTATGTAACTAGTTGTGAGTATTAATTTGTGTGCTGTCTTTTGTCTCTATAGGTTATCTATGGCGATACTGATTCAATAATGATTTACAGTGGGCTAGAGGATATTCAGGAAGCAAATAAGATTGCTGCAAGAGTTATTCAAGAGGTAAGGTTTGACTATTAGCTGTGCAAACTCTTTTGAGCCTTTATATGAACTATTGGTGGTTGAGATCGCTCAGATCAGTATTCCGCCATATAAGCACCTATGGTGCTGCCATAGTGGGCCTCCTTTCAAAAATTTGCCTATCGTGATTGGCAAAAAATCTGCCACGCCATTCCACAACAGCAGTGATGGTGCCTCCATATAACAACATTGGTCGAGATTCAAATTGCATTTCCTCTGCTCTTGAGCAATATGCTGTCATTAGTTACTTTAGTGATGTAAAGTTGTACACTGTTTGCAACCACGGATAATTTTGCATGTGTCCATGTTTCAAGAACAAATAGTGGTTTTCCTATATATTCCTTTTTCATCTGATGTTCTTACGATCTACAATTTCTGCTTTAATTTGTCAAGGTCAATAAGAAATATACACGCTTGGAAATTGATCTTGATGGTTTATATAAAAGGATGCTGCTTCTTAAAAAAAAGAAGTATGCGGCTGTAAAGTTGCTGTTTAAAGATGGCACCCCATATGAGGTATGTTTATCATATCTTATTCTTTTGCAAAACCTAACATCTTGGGAAGATCATGCAGTGAGATTAATGTATGGTGAAGGTTATTGAACGTAAAGGTCTCGACATTGTTCGTCGTGATTGGAGCCTGTTAGCGAAAGAATTAGGAGATTTTTGCTTGACTCAAATTTTGTCGGGAGGGTGTGTCACTTATCTTTGCCCCATTTGACTATTTTAGATGTAGGTTTACACATTTTTCTAGTAACTATTAATATTATGGTTCTCATGATTCCAGATCATGTGAAGATGTCGTGGAGTCCATCCACAATTCTCTTATTAAGGTAAATTGCAATGACTTGCTTTATCAGACATTTGTTTATAATAACATACCATGTAATTCGAGAGTTTGAAAGATGCTTCCTGGAGCTTTGGGCTCACTACACTTTGCCGAAGAGTAGAATGGCATTATAAGGTGGTCTAAAACCTGAATACTTAGGTTTATATGCACATTTGATTGGACTAGCCGATGATGTGGAGTATCTTTTTTTTATTTTTAAATGATCTAATTATCAATCATTGGTGAAGGTATTGAAGTTAGTTTATTGGGGATTTTGTTCTTGTAAATTTTGTCTTACTTTTTAACCAATGATGTTTAAATTGGAGATTATGATTTATTTCTCCTGCAAACTAATGGATGTTATTTTTAATTTTTAATATAGGTACAAGAAGAAATGAGGAACGGACAAGTACCATTAGACAAATATGTCATTACAAAGACATTGACCAAACCTCCTGAAGCTTATCCTGATGCCAAAAACCAGCCACACGTTCTTGTTAGTCAAAACTATTTTTCATTTGTGAAATTGTCTAATCTATGTTTTTTTCCTGTGTTCTACTTGATTCCGAGTTTTTTTTTTTTTTTTTATCAACATATAGGTGGCACAAAGATTGAAGCATCAAGGCCACTCTTCTGGTAGCACTGTTGGTGATACAATTCCTTATATAATTTGCTATGAGCAGGTTTGTCATTTAGTCTCGATCAAAGGTCAAATAACTTGTGAAAATGGCTTTTGTTGAGTATTTGATGTAGTTTATAATCTGTCTAACTTTGCATTTTTAATATCATGTTCTGCTTTTATAGGGCAGTGCTTCAGGCAATGCAGCCGGCATTGCACAACGTGCCAGACATCCTGATGAACTTACAAACGGGACATGGCTGATTGACATTGATTACTATTTATCGCAACAGGTGTGTTAAGCTAATTCACCGTTATATATTAAATTAAAATAGTTATCTTATTTCTAGAGTGTATTTAGTATCATTTTTAATTGTTATTTTTAATTTATAAGCAGTGTTTTTAGAATTTTCTTAATTTCTTTTATTTAACAATATGTATTTTATATTTTGATATTAAATATAAATCATTTTTATCCTTTAAAAATTAAATAAATATTACTTAAAAAATTATCAATAATCTTCTATTTATATAGATTAGAACAACTTTTTTTTTACGAGAATGATTTCAGATTTTTTTTTCAATGAGATTGTTTTAAGATTTTTCTAAATTTCTTATTTTTAATTTATCATTTCATTGTTATTTCTAAATTAATAAAAAAAAAATTAAACACAATCATTCAAATTATATCTTATTTTATTTTATTTTTTTACTTTTCACTATATTTGTTATATTTCCTTATTACATCATATGATTTTTAATGAAATTGTATGTTTAATATTTTTAAAATCATCATATTTTGTTTAAGATTTACCATGGACATTTTCCATACAAAAATGCTACGTAACAATGGTTACCATGTAACGTATCTTGTTCGAGTATTTTCTTTTTTCTCCTGTAGATCCATCCAGTGATATCACGTCTTTGTGCACCAATTCAGGGCACAAGTTCAGAAAGACTGGCTAATTGTTTAGGGCTTGACTCGTCGAAGGTCAAACATATTTTCTAACTTGTCTCAACATTTATTTTGTATCAATTCTTCTAAATTGGTAAACTATATTGTTTTACAGTTTCATCATAAATCTAGTGAAGCTTTAAATGATGATTCTACAAGCTCACTCTTGTTGGTTGCTGATGATGAGGAAAGGTACATCATGGTTTTAAAATTTATGTCTCATTAACTGTCACACATCTTGTAATAGAAATATTTACTACCAAATTACCAATGCTAATATGTAGTGGAGGAGAATATTCTTTTGTTTTGAAATTCAGTATTATGTGCGGATATTTGAACAAGTTATGGAATTTGTTTTGTAGTTTCGTAGCTTCTTATTTATGCTTTGTTATATTATTTTTGAAGTTGTGTTGTGATTCATGCTTTTTTCCTATGGTTTTCCTAGCCATACTTATTAACTACTGTATTGGATGTGATAAATTAATTGCAGATATCGGGGATGTGAGCCATTGATCTTGACATGCCCCAGCTGCTTTGGTACATTTGGGTGCCCACCTGTCTTTAAATCTATTTGTTGTTTGTTGGGTAGTGACATGACAACCAGTGTAGCCTTGGAGGAGTCCATCTATAATTTCTGGCGTAAGCTGTGCTGTCCTAAATGCTCAGATGGTAAAATTTCTCCCGCAATGATAGTTAACCAGGTTTGAATAATTTAATATTTAAGACCTCTATAGATTTCTGTATTGTGTAGTAACACTTTTTAACATGTTTGTTGCTATGATTAACATAGAATATTGTTCCTGAGAATATACTAATAGTTCATTTTACTTCATGTCAGGTTAAAATGCAAGCAGATAAGTTTATTTTAATGTATTATAGAGGTTTATTAACGGTAAGTCACCTCTCTAAATATATAATGAATATCAATAGCCTGTGAAAATTAACCGTCATCATCCTTAACTGATTTTGCATCCAGTGTGATGATGAAACGTGTAAACATACAACTCGAAGGATCAACCTTCGGTTGGTTGGTGATTATGAGAGACGAACTGTTTGTCCAAATTATCCTCGCTGCAATGGGCGTTTATTAGTTAGACAGGTTTCATTCTATGAACTTCTTGAGCATTAACAGTTTATATTATATATGATTTATAATTGTGAAACTTTAATGCTTCGATTTTATTAATAATTAAATATTTATTTGATTTTTCAGTACACTGAAGCAGACTTGTACAGACAGCTCTCGTATTTTTGCCATGTGTTCGATACTGTTTCTTGTATAGAGAAGGTATTCACTTGGTGTTTGTTTGTCCATCTCAACCTCATTTCTCACATCATTTCAATGTACTTTCTGCACATCATTTCAATGTACTTTCTGCAACGTAAATCCGTGTTTCAAACTCACCTTAAGGTAGTGTTTGTTTCCGGGAGAGTACTGTTCACAAGTAAAGAAAGGCGTGGAAAGATACCATTTGTTTCTGCTGATTTGGAACGAAGGAAAGGCGAAGAAAAGCGAGGGGAAGCACTGTTGCTCTCCTCGCACAAAAGGGAAGAAAGGAGGTGAAAGACACGTAGGATTTGTGAAAATCCGAAAATACCCCTCCCATGCGTGTGCCATGCATTAGAGAATCTCTGGCATTTCACGGACCGTCCTTGTCTCATGCATGCATACTGGCAGGAATCTCTGCCATTGTTGACTGAATTATTGAAGGAGCTTTGTCGTTGCGTTTGAAATAATAATATAAGAGGAAGCTCTCTTTGGTGGTATGTCTTCACAGAATTTCCGTTGAGTAATTTCGGTTGGTGTTGTTCAAGTTCTTCACGGGCTGTTACGTGGCTGGTGCGTCGCTGGTGCGTGGCTGGTGGTGGCTGGTCGTGAGTGATTGCGGAAGAGCTCCTCCATTGAAGATTAGTTTTGATGTCATTTAATATATATGAAGGACCATAATCGATTATGGTTGGTTACATAATCGATTATGGCCTACTTGTCAGATTGAATACGGTGAAACGGATGCATGGTTGTCTATGGAACTCATGTTTTATTTAAGTATTCTTCCACTCACACGTCGGCTGACTAATATTAGTGGTAATCTGTGGGGAAAAACACTCCAGGTGAGCCCTCGTATCATTTGCTTGCTAGGTTGATTTGATGTTGAACATGACCTAACAGGCAGACGCGCTTAACTAAATTCAGGGTGGTCGAGCGCAGAGAGTGGAGTATCTTTTGCTGCATACTTTCCATGCAATGAAATATATGGTGCCAGACAAGTTCTCAAACCATGCAAAATATACAAAATTGACGAAACGCAAGTTAACTAGTGATGTTGAGGATAGAAACTTTGATGTAAATATTGATGATGCAAACTATGACAATGATGCTTCTGAAGTGGATCATAAGAAAAACAAAAAATGTCCTTCTTATGCCGGGGGATTGGTTTTGGAGCCAAAGAAGGGTCTATATGACAAATATATATTGCTTCTAGACTTCAACAGTCTTTATCCTTCTATTATTCAGGTTTATATCATTGTCTTTCAAAATATGCTTGTTTTTAGTCATTTAGTTCTGCCTTTTGGCATTATCTGTTTTATTTGCTCGTCTACTCTGCCTCTATTAGTAATTTGTGACAGTTTGTTTACAACATAATGAACTGAATTACAGGAATACAATATCTGCTTCACAACTGTTGAGAGGTCTTTTGACGGAACTTTTCCTGGTCTACCATCTAGTAAAACAACTGGAGTCTTGCCAGAGGTAAAAATGCACAGATACCAACATTTTTATCTTTTAAATCTTGCTAGTGTAGGACATATCTGATCATTTTTGAACCAGAAGTTTCATATTAATTTTTTGTTTCCAAATTTTGTATGATTTAGATACAAAGCCTTGCCAAATGATATTTCCAGATTTATTTGCTTAGCAACTTTGACAAGTTAGTTGTTTTTTCTGCGCATGAAGCCAAGAACCTTGTTTCTATCAAGGCTAATTACATCTGTAGTTAGTGATGCATTTATACTGCAGTAGTTTATAGATCCTCAAAAGTACTGATGTGAGGCTCTGGCTTCCGCTTTGTTTCATGTGGGTGGGGTGTTAGATTTATAGATTTTTTTTGCCTCGATAACTACTTTATTATATTTTCAGGAGTTATCTCAATTTTGGTTCTTTCCACCTTGCCTGCTGTTCTTATTTCTGTCACCAGCTATAGCATTGGAAAATAAGGTATTCAAATCCCTCCTTTTCCACTCCCCTTTTTCCATCTTCAAATCCAAACAAAGCCTAAGTGATTCAATGACAATTTTAATAAAGATAGTTGGGTGAGAGCAGCTGAAGCCTGAAGCAACCCAATTGAATTTTCAAGATAATTTTTTAACCACGTTATTTAAACAATTAAATGATGATTAACTAATTATATAACTTGATTAACCGTTATTGTTAAAAAATCATTTAATAGTATTTGTTTTTATCTTACGTTATTTTAAAGTTTTCTAAATAATTTGTTAGGATTATTTTCTATTTTTTACTTTATCATTTACTTCCTTATTTATGATTTTTGTAATTATAGGCATGTCTTATCAAGTAAATAGGAATATTATTTTACTTTTTATACTTATTGCCTCGAATCTATTTAAAGTAGATTCTTTTGAATTAAGACAGTGCTTAATCTTATTTTTCTGGTGCATTACTCTTTCAGATGGAGGCAAAATCTAGAATACCAATAGAGAAAGAGTTGATCAAAATTAGGCCAATGATAGATCCGGCAGCCTTAAAAGCACAGAAGATCAGGGATCGTTGCCTCTTTGGGTGGGTGAGCATGCAGGATCTTTTTATGTAGTCTAGCATAAGTGATGTCCATTTGCATCTACTTCAAATAGGGGTTGACAACGGATGAAAAGTAAAGAAAAGAATGAAGCGAGCATGAAAAACCATACAACCGATATCATAGAGTTCCATGCCTTGCAAACACACCTGAATTGGGTTAGAGTTTTCATTGGAGTCCAGGACAATTTCTAGAACGAGATGCTCAGGGATGAATGACATCTTCCCCAGAGATACTGGTTAAGCAGCTTTGGTTACTGCAACAAAACTAACACCAAAAGAGAGCTTGTTAAGCAGCTTTGGACGGCAAAGATACTCAGAACTGGTTTACACCAAAGATACTGAAGAAATGATGTTCGCTGTTGATCAAGTAGTGAAAAGAACGGTCTATTTTCGCTTAATATGTAACTAGATTTTGTATAAGATTTAATTATAATCGATCGATTTAATAAAAATAAAATAATTGTTACTTTGTTATTATAAAATCAACCTCTCTTAAAAAATATAAATATTTATTTTAAAACACTAATAAAAATAATTATTTAATACATACAAAATAATTGTCCAGAACAATAATTATTTAAAACGTACAAAATAATATTCCTCTATAATTATTAAAATAATTATGACCAAATACTATATAATAATAATAATAATAATAATAGTAACTTTTTTAAAAACTGAGGTGTTAGAGTTCGTGTCATTAGGACTAAAATGGCTGACAACTGATGAAAAGTAAAGAAAAGAATGAAGCGAGCATGGGAAACCATACAACCGATATCATAGAGTTCTATGTCTTGCAAACACCCCTGAATCGGGTTAGAGTTTTCACTGAAGTCGAGGTCAAGATTTCTAGAACGAGATGTTCAGGGATGAATGACATCTTTCGCAGAGATACTGGTTCAACAGCTTTAGTTATTGCAACGAAACTAGTTAAGCAACTTTGGACGACAAAGATATTCAGAACTGGTTTACACCAAAGATACTGAAGAAATGATGCTCGTTGTTGATCAAGTAGTGAAAAGAACGGTCTATTTTCGCTTAATATGTAACTAAATTTTGTATAAGATTTAATTATAATCAATTGATTTAATAAAAATAAAATAATTGTTACCTTGTTACTGTAAAATCAACCTTCTCTTAAAATAAATAAATATTTATTTAAAAACACTAATAAAAATAATTATTTAATACGTACAAAATAATTATCCAAAATAATAATTATTTAAAACGTACAAAATAATATTCCTCTATAATTATTAAAATAATTATGACCAAATACCATATAATAGTAATAATAATAATAATAATAATAATAATATTCTTATTATTATTATTATTAATAACCTTTTTGAAAACTGAGGTGTTAGAGTACATGTCATTAGAATTAATATGGCTGACGGCCGATGAAAAGTAAAGAAAAGAATGAAGCGAGCATGAGAAACCATACAACTAATAATATCATAGAGTTTCATGCCTTGCAAACACCCCTGAATCGGGTTAGAGTTTTCACTGGAGTCCAGAACAAGATTTCTAGAACAAGATGCTCAAGGATGAATGACATCTTCCGCCGAGAGCTCGTTAAGCAGCTTTGGACGGCAAAGATACTCAGAACTAGTTTACACCAAAGATACTGAAGAAATGATGCTCGCTGTTGATCAAGTAGTGAAAAGAATGGACTATTTTCGCTTAATATGTAACTAAATTTTCTATAAGATTTAATTATAATCGATTGATTTAATAAAAATAAAATAATTGTTACCTTGTTACTGTAAAAGCAGCCTTCTCTTAAAACATATAAATATTTATTTAAAAACACTAATAAAAATAATTATTTAATACGTACAAAATAATTGTCCAAAATAATAATTATTTAAAACGTTCAAAATAGTATTCCTCTATAATTATTAAAATAATTATGACCAAGTACTATATAATAATAATAAAATAATAATAATAATAATAACTTTTTTGAACACTTAGATGTTAGAGTACGTGTCATTAGAACTAAAATGGCTGACGGCTAATGAAAAGTAAAGAAAAGAATGAAGCGAGCATGAGAAACCATAGAACCGATATCATAGAGTTCCATGCCTTGCAAACACCCCTGAATTGGGTTAGAGTTTTCACTGGAGACCAGGACAAGATTTCTAGAACGAGATGCTCAAGGATGAATGACATCTTCTGCATAGATACTGGTTAAGCAGCATTGGTTACTGCAACGAAACTAACACCAAAAGAGAGCTCGTTAAGCAGCTTTGGACGACAAAGATACTCAGAACTGGTTTACAGCAAAGATACTGAAGAAATGATGCTTGTTATTGATCAAGTAGTGAAAAGAACGGACTATTTTCGCTTAATATGTAACTAAATTTTGTATAAGATTTAATTATAATCGATTGATTTAATAAAAATAAAATAATTGTTACTTTGTTACTGCAAAATCAACCTTCTTTTAAAACATATAAATATTTATTTAAAAACACTAATAAAAATAATTATTTAATACGTACAAAATAATTGTCCAAAACAATAATTATTTAAAACGTACAAAAAATAATATTCCTATATAATTATTAAAATAATTATGACGAAATATCATATAATAATAATAATAATAATAATAATAACCTTTTTGAAAATTGAGGTGTTACAGTACGTGTCATTAGAACTAAAATGGCTGACGACTGATGAAAAGTAAAGAAAAGAATGAAGCGAGCATGAAAAATCATACAACCGATATCTTAGAGTTCCATGCCTTGCAGACACCCCTAAATCGGGTTAGAGTTTTCACTGGAGTCCAGGACAAGATTTCTAGAACGAGATGCTCAAGGATGAATGACATCTTTCGTAGAGATACTGGTTAAGCAACTTTGGTTACTGCAACGAAACTAGTTAAGCAACTTTGGACGACAAAGATACTTAGAACTGGTTTACACCAAAGATACTGAAGAAATGATGCTCGTTGTTGATCAAGTAGTGAATAGAACGGTCTATTTTCGCTTAATATGTAACTAAATTTTGTATAAGATTTAATTATAATCAATTGATTTAATAAAAATAAAATCATTGTTACCTTGTTACTGTAAAATCAACCTTCTCTTAAAACAAATAAATATTTATTTAAAAACACTAATAAAAATAATAATTATTATTATTATTAATAACCTTTTTGAAAACTGAGGTGTTAGAGTACATGTCATTAGAATTAATATGGCTGACGGCTGATGAAAAGCAAAGAAAAGAATGAAGCGAGCATGAGAAACCATACAACTAATAATATCATAGAGTTCCATGCCTTGCAAACACCCCTAAATCGGGTTAGAGTTTTCACTGGAGTCCAGGACAAGATTTCTAGAACAAGATGCTCAAGGATGAATGACATCTTCCGCAGAGATACTGGTTAAGCAGCTTTGGTTACTACAACGAAACTAAAACCAAAAGAGAGCTCGTTAAGCAGCTTTGGACGACAAAGATACTCAGAACTAGTTTACACCAAAGATACTGAAGAAATGATGCTCGCTGTTGATCAAGTAGTGAAAAGAACGGACTATTTTCGCTTAATATGTAACTAAATTTTCTATAAGATTTAATTATAATCGATTGATTTAATAAAAATAAAATAATTGTTACCTTGTTACTGTAAAATCAGCCTTCTCTTAAAACATATAAATATTTATTTAAAAACACTAATAAAAATAATTATTTAATACGTACAAAATAATTGTCCAAAACAATAATTATTTAAAACGTACAAAATAATATTCCTCTATAATTATTAAAATAATTATGACCAAATACCATATAATAATAATAATAATATTAATATTAATATTAATGTTAATATTAATAATAACCTTTTTGAAAACTGAGGTGTTAGAGTTTTCACTGGAGTCCAGAACAAGATTTCTAGAACAAGATGCTCAAGGATGAATGACATCTTCCGCAGAGATACTGGTTAAGCAGCTTTGGTTACTACAACGAAACTAAAACCAAAAGAGAGCTCGTTAAGCAGCTTTGGACGACAAAGATACTCAGAACTAGTTTACACCAAAGATACTGAA